AGCTAGTGAGTGGCTGATCCAGGATTTGAACCCTGGTGCATCTGCCCCCAAATTCTCAGCTCTTAATTAACCATATGTTTATCTGAAAGCGCTTCTGACCCCTCACCCCCAGTGCCTCCTTGACAGTGCTCTACCGTCTACTGCTGGGCCTGAACACACTCCCTCTGCCCCTATATGCCCAAAGGACACAACGTCTGGGTGCTTGGCAGCTCCCTTCTGGCAGGTTCTCAGCATCACTATGTCCTGCCACAGGGGAGCAGAAGAAAGGAGGAGGCAGGTCCCCGCAAAAGGGAGAGAGGTGGGCAAGTGCTCCGAGACCATGTGGGCTCAATGACATGTTGTGGAAGAAGCTCAGATCCTGGAGTCAGACAAACCTGGGTCCATGCGCTGACTCCACTCTTCACCAGCTATGTGACTCTAGGCAGGTTGCGCTACCTCTCTGGGCCTCTGCTTCCTCCCTTGACAAACGGGGATATAATGTCACTGCTCTATTAGCCACAATTATGGGGACAAGAAAACATCTGCTCAGATAAGTTTTCTACCAAAGGCTGACGTCGATCATGATCCTTCAAGCCATCCATTCCTCAGCCAGAACCTTACCGAGCTCCTCCTGTGTGCCGAAACTAGGGGTAGACATTGGCACCATAGCTGTCAGGTGAGGTGACACAGAGTGCTTGTCCTCATGGGGTTCAGAGCCAGGCAGGGTAGACAGGTGCAGACCAAATTGCTCTATGTCTGATGGGTGTTCACAAAAATGGCTGCCGTGGGAGCCCAAGCAGAAGAATTTAACACATTAACTGCCATGTGAGTTGTATTTAACTCACGCTAGTTTTGAGCCCGGGGCCTCGTGAAGCATGTATAACTCACACATCTCTTCACCTTGGGAGCCGCGTGAACTATTTCGAGTTGCATATTACTCACGCACAGAAAACAATAAAAAGTAACAAATTTTTCATTAAATTAGAAAGAATTGTTTTGTTTTCAAAATTTTTTTTCTATTTTCATAATAAAACACCATGGCCCCAGGGAAAAAAGTGGCTTTTCAAGTGTGACAGTCAGTGTGTTAATGTCCTGAACAGGTAACATTTCAGCCAGGTCTAGAGTAATGATAACAGGAGATTTCACCTGATAACAGGTGAGGTTTCAGGCAGAGGTGTTGACCTGCAAGGAGCTAATATTCGTCGCAGGCACACTGTGTGCCAAGCTCTGGGCTCAGCACATGATGTTCGTTACCTTGTTCAGTCTTCCCATATTCCCTTGAGGCTGGTGCTCTTCC